GCCTCGACTCCATTTTCCTGTTTGATGGATTGATAAGCTATATATATGCTTAAGTTGTAGCAATTTTCGCCAACTCCAGCTTTTGCCCTGCATAACAGTAATCTGCCATAAACACCGAGATTAATTAATTAGATACTCAACAAATTAATTACACATGACATAAAGCATATAATAGTGCTATTGTATAATTCTCACATGGTAGGGCAATACAAGACAAGACAATGCTTGAATGCGTGAAAGATTTAAAACATACTATATTTGGATACACGAATTATGTGAGTGAAAAAGAAAACAAAAAAAAAACCCTTAAAAAATGGAAATTAGATTATAAGAATTGATGTCTTTTGTCGTGACATCAACCCAATTAAAAGTTTTAAGAATAATATAAATATCACAAAGAACCTACAATAGCAACGAAGCTCAGATTGATCCAGTTTCCATTTCCGGAGATGAAGCTATGTATCTCATCCTGTTCAGCCGCTCGCATTCACTTTAGATTTTTGAGCAGACAATTGATAGAGGCGCAACAAGGGAAACCTTCAAGGAAGCCATGGCCAAGTCTTAATGCATTCACATGCGTTGGTTATATATATTTTTCATAAAATGCGTATAAAAGATTTATATATATATATTTTCTAAGGATAACAGGCTGAAGAGCGTATGCTCTGCACTAACAATAACATAACAGTAACAGAGGCCTGTCTTCTCTCTGCCCCTTTGATTTTGATTAGACTGAAGAGTCAGCCAGCAGATCAATAAAATTTGACAGGTTAACCAAGGCTGATGGGTTTAGGATTCCGTTTAACCCACTTCTGTCCTACTTTCTTAGCAATTAATACCTAAGTGAAAAAAATTATTCCATGAAACACTATACATGAATTGTGTCTGAATGTAAATCTTACAAGGAGGATAAAATTTGCACTACTCTAAACTTAACTAAGTGACGATGTTAGCGATATCAATTATTTCGATTAAAATGTCGAAGCAAAATTTTGTCTGTTCACAGCATTGAGCAACACTTTGCAAACTAATGAAAACGATCAACAATTGAACTGAGAATTAACGAACCAAATCATAACCTGAAGGAAGGTTCTTTTATTACATTGGTGTAAAATGAAAGAATAGGTTATTCACATCACAAAGAAAGGAATGGATCAAGGATAAGCAATTCTCCAAAAAAAAAAAAAAAAAACACGATCAGCTAGTTCATCAGGATAAATCTTATTCCCAGACGGCCATTCCTAAATCTTTTTCTTTCCTTGATTTTAATTTTATGTTTAGTGCAAGAAATATGCGATGAGTGACGCAACTGAGGCACCAACAATTGATCCAACAACAGGGAAGGTAGCGGCGGCATCGCTGGTAGCGGTTGGGGCAGGGGCAGGAGCAGCAACCTCAGCCATCACGGCGGTCATTGAGGCGGCGGCAAAGAGGAGAGCGCAGGCAGCATTCTTCGTGATCTCCATTATTGGCGTGATTGGCTATATATAGATTAAATAACAACCAAAGCACGCGTTATTTGAGGTGGAGTTTGCAGTTTGCAGCCGACTGAAGAATGTGGGAGGCGGGTGAATGGTATTTATACCGCAAAACCAATATGAATTTAGCAAATTACAGTTTCATTTTATCGTATTTTACGTCAACCTAGTTCTTTGTTAATTTTATTAGCGGACACGAAGGAAGCGAAGGCCTTTTTTTTTTTTCTTTGGGGTTCTTTTTAGAATAGCAAAGTCGTTTGTTAGGAGCGAGTCTGATGGTAGAACATTGCAAATTATTATTAGACAAATCCAAATTTATGCTAACCAACTATTTCCTGATTAATTAAGATGACATACGTAACAGACACTCAGAAAACAGGTAAGGGTAATACCGACTAAATAATAATAATTTGAAATTTGGAGTTTTGGAGGAAAGGAATTGTAGCTCATATTGTGCCTATATACTCTTCTTTTTTCTTTTTTTTTTCATAAAAGAGACTACAATTTAAGGATAAAAAAAAGGATTTTAGATATTGATTGTATTAATCATTTGAATTAAGTGGAATTTAATTAATTAATTAATTAATTTGATGTAGAACAAATTAATAGAAAAGTGACTTGATTCTTTCCTCTTTACATTAAAAACGCAGCTATATGTATATTCTATGAATCATAAATGTAATATATGTATATGTATACTTCAAGGTAAAGATTGAAGTGAAGGATCTTCATATTAATTTAATATTAATATTAATTAATTTCTCTCACACATATATATAGTATTAGAGAGAACTTCATTTTTTTATACGAGGTACAATAAATTTTTCACTCATTTTCAAGCATATATTAAAAAATAACTAATCAAATAGACAAATTAATGAATGAACAAATGAATCTATATATATATATATAAATCTAACATTAAATTAAACTAAATCAACACATATGAACTTTAAATCTCACTATATGTAGGATCTTTTTCTTATCATTAACCCAAAACCACATGCATTAGAAGAGGAGAGAGAACTTAATTTTGAACATCGATTAATCTTACTTTGAGTTTACTACAAAACTCTTATATTTGAAGTTTTACTTATCATCAATTCGAAGTAAATCTAAAATTTTGTATATTCATATTTTGTAAAATATTAAAAATTTGTTTATTCATATCGTGTTTTAAATAAAAATTACATATTATAGTTAATGTCAATACGAAAATATAAAATATATATATTTTATTTTGTTAAATTTATTTATGATTTTTACTAAAATTTTAAAATATGTTAATTTTATATTTTATATTTGTATTATTTTTATATCGTGTTACTGTGTCATATTTAAAATTACTAAATCTAGTTTGAAGGCTTTTTGCTTTTCTTCAAACTTAACTCCAAAACAAAGATATAAAAATTAATTCTCACTAAAAAAATAATTCTAATAGTCTTTTGATTTAAAAAATAATAACATATATTTAAATTATAAGGTTCTATAATATCATTCTATAACTTGAATTTAAATTAAAATATTTAAATTTCAAATTTAATATAAAATTCTGTGATAAAATAAACGAAATTATGATTTTTAAGATCTTTTTCAAATTCTTAAATTTGAAATACATATAGATATTTGTAAATTCAAAATTCACTTTCTTATATATATTTTTTAAATATATAGACATACTTAATTAATTTATGTATAATATACTCATAATTTATGTAATAATGGACTAAATCCAAATTTATTCTCTCAAATTTATCTTTTCTAATATAATATAAAAATTTAGCTAGAGATATTAGTCATATGTAATACATAAATTTAATAATGAGAATGTAAAATTGGAGGAAAATTTTAAGGTGTGCTATCCATAATTATAAAAGAAAGGATAATGATTGCTCTCCTTTTCGCCTTTCAATATTAAAAAAAAAAAAAAAAATCAAATATTCTACTTCAAAAATAAAATATTGAGTTTGTTGTATTTCTCTCTCCATTTCTTTTTTCTCCATTTCTTTTTAGTTACTACTATAGATCGTGGAACTACTTGAACGAATTTCCAACTGTCCTGTCATCTCTAGTGCTTCACTTCGGTCAAAACAAAAAATCTACTGTAGTTCGGACAAATTTTAGTGAAATTTGTAAAGTTATTTTTTAAAAAATAATTTAATAAAAATTTTAATTAAAAACTTAAATGGATAGATTGATAGAGTTAAATGTAAAAATAAATAATATGTCGAAAAATTTTATTAAAAATATTATTTATAATTTAAATTTGTTTAATACTATTTAATGATAAAAAATTTATAAAAATTTTTACTAAAAATCTTTATGTAATAAATATATCAAAATTTATTAAAATTTTTTCAAATTTTACACGTTTGATTTATTATATAAGATCTTTTAATTTATAAATTTTGATTTTCAATTTTAGTTTTTATTTATTCATTTTTAATAAAATTTTTTCAAATTTCATATATGAAATTTTATGCAAGTCTTTATTTTTACTAAAAATATCTATTTAAAAAAATATATAAAAGTTTATTAAAATTTTTTCAAAATTTACATAATTAATCTATGTAATAAGATCTTTCAATTTATCAATTTTGATTTTCAATTTTAATTTTTATTTAATTGTTTCTAATAAAAAATTTCACAAACTTTATCTAAGTCTTTCTCAATTTTACATACACAAACATTTATTCTCTCACAATCAAATTGGTTCGAATATTTAAATATTTTTTATTTGTTCTTACCTAAGGAGATTGGAAGCGGGACAAAAAGAGAGAAACCAAAAAGCAAATAATAATGAACCATGTTTAAATAAAGAAATCAAAGGAGTGAAAACTGTATAATAAGATTGAAGATCCATGATGTTTCTTGGAGTTAAATTGTAGGAATGAAAGGTACCATGATTATATGAGTTACGAGGTGAGGTTGACAAAATGTGAAACTAAGACCGAAAGAGATTGAAGATAATAATGTGCTTTGTGGGAGCCTCGGAAGGGAGTGCCTGGAGGTGACCGTTAGAGGCTTGGAGTGCGTAAGAGTTGAAGATTGAAAGAGATTAAGAATGAAATCACTTAGGTTTAAAGGAGCAATGTCGCACATGAGACATATGATAAGAACAGGAAATGATTTAAAAATTCAAAATTTTAATGGATATTTGAATTGTCCAAAAATTGAATGGACTAAAAAGTTAAAAACATGAATGGGTGAAAAAGTTAGAGCACTTTTAGTTGGACTATAAAGCCCTTAACTTTGAATTGGATTTTTGGGTCATTACCTATTTTTAAACTTTAATTTTTGGGCTTTATTCGAGTTTTTCAAAATCCGAACAAAAAAATTGAACCGATCCGAATTTTTAAAATTCGAACCAAATCAACCTGAATACTCCAGTGCGAATCAGCTTTTTGATTTTCACAAAATTATTTTACTCAGCCCTACTCATAATGACATCTCCTTTATTTCCTCTTAGCTTCTCTATCTATTTATCTTCTTCTTTTTTTTTTTTGTTTTCCCAGCAGGGCCATGGCCAAACGCTTGACAGTAAAGATGGTGGAGCGGTGCCAAATTCGTCCGCCACCAAACTCAGTTCCACAAGCATCCCTAATGCCCCTAACTTTCTTTGACCTACCATGGCTCTTCTTCCCTCCATCCCAACCTCTCTTCTTCTATCCATACCCTTACCCTACTTCTCACTTTTTATCCACAACTCTCCAAACCCTCAAGCATTCTCTTTCTCTTACTCTCCAACTCTTCTTTCCTCTCGCCGCCCACCTTGTGATCTTGGATTCTAACTCAACACCGCCCCAACCCCAGCCCAAACCCAATATTGCTTACAACGAAAACAACAACTATGTTTCATTAACTATTTCCGAGTCTAATGCTGATTTTCGTCGTATTTCAGGCAATCTTCCTCGAGATGTCAAAGATTTCCATCCACTCGTGCCTTCGCTTGAAAGCAGCCTGTCCAGTGATGAAAACCATGCCGTACCTTTGCTCGCAGTAAAAGTAACTGTATTTCCGAATTCTGGTTTGTGCATAGGACTAGCATATCACCACGTGGCCGCTGATGGAAGGACGTTCGACAATTTCATCAAGACATGGGCCTCATTCCATAAAGATTCTTCTTTCTCGTTTAAGTCAATGCCATCCTATGATCGGACGGTGGTAATTGACAAGCATGGTCTTGAGACCATTTTCTTGAATGAGTGGAGGAAGAAAACGTCTGAAAAACAAATTGTTATGGGTACCGAAAGCAAAGCAGATGATCAGTTTTCAGATATGGTTAGAGCCACATTTGTGATGGGGTTGAGAGACATGGAGAACATCAAAAGCTGGATTATTGCAAAATGCAAGAACAAAAATCTGTCAGAACCCGTACATTTATCTCCCTATGTAGTGACGTGTGCTTTTGTTTGGGTTTGTTTGATGAAAGCTCTAACTCATGAAGCTGAGGGTGTAATGGATAACAAGTTTTTTGATGATCAGCCACAGTATCTATGTTATTTCGGGTTTAACGCGGGCGGTCTAAACCGCTTCGACTATCCCGTTCCGGCTACGTACTTTGGCAATTGTGTTGGATTTGGCAGGTCCGAGGCTACAATTGATGACTTAATAGGAGAAAATGGCATCATTTTTGCGTCTAAAGCCATAGGAGACACGGTTAAGAAATTGGATAAAGCATTACTTGGAGAAGCCGAGAGGTGGATTTCGGACTGGGAGGTTTTTTGGGGGTCGGATCTCCATATCATGGTTGTTGGGTCACCTAAGTTGGATGCGTATGAGACAGATTTTGGGTGGGGGAGACCTACCAAAATTGAAGAGATTTCAATTGATGGTCGGGGAGCCATTTCCCTTACTGAGAGCAGAGATGAGAAAGGCGGCATTGAAGTGGGATTGGCTCTTCCAAAGCCCAAAATGGTTGCTTTTACCTCTCTCTTCGCTCAAGGTCCCAGCTAAGAAGGAAAAAACATGAACCATTTGCGAAGCACCTTTTTCTTATTTGCTTTTACTTTTGCTTTCGTCGTTGCTTCTGGAATGAATAATAGGACAGATACTTGCTGTCGGAAGAGATTGTCCAAGTTCTCTTTTAAGGAAAAGAAGTATAATAGGAAATGAATAAATAAAAATTAAAATATTTATTTATTTATAATACAGAATTTATTGAAATTCATCTATAAAACTTCAAAAAAATTTTGTTCTCTTGTAAACCATATGCCGTACATACATTTTTAGTAATATAAGAATTAATAATATTGGTCAGTGGGTAAGCCACTCCACATTAAATTTTTCTGATGCACTGATGAACAAAGCGACATGACACTGTTGGGCCTTTTTTTTTTTCAGTTTTTTTTTATATTTAATAAATATATTTTTTAATTTTTTAAAGGTGAGTCCCATATTATATCAATTTTTTTTTTAAGATTTTATATTTGTATGGACTCATTTGATATTAAAAGTATACCGTATGTTTTTTTTTTTTATATATATTTGATACATAATTTTTTAGATTTCAATTTCTTTTTTGTCCCGTTAACTTGATGCCAAAAGTTTGCTGCATGTCAAGTTATTTCTTCTTTTATTTTTATCATTATTTATTTTTTAAAAATTATTTTAATTTCATGCTTATTTAATATTATTGATTAGAAAATTATTCTTTCATTATATTTTTTAGTTAATTTGATAAGTTTTAAGAAAATGATATTAAAAAAACTCATCATTACTAATGTTATGTGGCAACCCGATTCCTTTTGTTTTTATTTTTTTAACTTTTTAATTAGATAATTTTATTGAGAAAAAAGTTAATGGATATATACACGTGATATTCTCTTTTGCTTTTTTCTCTTTTATTATATTTTTTTTATTTTTTAATTAGGTAATTTACAATAAATAATCAATAAATAATATTTTTAAAAAAATATCAATAGAGGTATTAATATCAAAACAACCAATAAGTTTTAGTTTGTTTGGATTCAATAGATGCATTATTGGATATTGAATTGAGATTTTTTTAAAAATTAAAATCGAGTCGGAGATAGATTTATGATGCTACTTTATATTTTTAATTTTTTAGTTATTTTAAATTTAAATAAATTTTGTAAAAAATCTTGTAAGTGTCCACGTGACACCTAATTTATTTTTTTCTCTTTTGTTTTTTATTATTAAATAAATTTTATAACAAAATAAGCCAATAGATAATAATGACAAAATAATTAATTCATATTTAATAGATCTCATTCAATTGAGATTTCTATGTAATATGCAATGAGTTTTAATTTTTAATTTTTTACTTTTTTTTGTCTTTTTTATTAAATTAATTTTGTGAAAACTTTAATTAAAGTATCTACATGACATTTCATTTGATTTTTTTAATTAGATAAATTTTATAATAAAATATGTAAATTGATAAAAATACAAAAAATAAACTCAATATGAACTTCAATTTGACATCTCGATGGGTTCTTATTTTTTCATTTGTTTTTTTTTTAATTTTTTATTTCACTTTTTCATTTTTTTAAACATTTTTGTTTTTGATATTTATTTTTACTGAATACATTTTATGGAAAAAAAAAGAAACCAATTAAAATTCCTACATGTCTTATTTGTTTTTTACCTTTTATTTTTCAATATTTAATTAAATAAATATTTAAAAAATTGATGAATATAAAAATAAAATAAAAAAATTAACTCACGACTTTTTATAATATAATTATCTTTAAGTCAACATGACATTATTAATAGTTGATTGATTTGATTCCGTATATGTTGAGTTGGATGCCACACATTGCATGTCGTCGGTGGAACACTACTCATACTCTACATAGCATTTACAGTGCACATCAACAACCGTACCAACAACAGATCATGTCCCTACCATAGCTAAGCCACTCATTCTGTTGATCCATCTCCTTCCTTCAATTACCATACACTCTGATCGGATGCTTCACTGTAATAACCAACCTAAAAATAGTTGAGAATCATGATGTCAAGAAAATAAAAAATTCAACAACTTTTGTCAGATAATAATAATAATAATGATTTCTCTCATTCAACAAAAAACAAACCATGTCTTACCTATCGACTTTTTTTTAATTTATTAAAAAAAATGCATGCCATATGAAAACCCCTTTAATAATTTTAAAGCTAGTGTCTAGGCCAGGCCTAAGCATTCCCTATTCTAAGTCTATCCATCTATGGAATGGGCTAAGGGGTTTGGGTAGGTGGCTCAGCCATTCTATTTTTGATGGAGTTTGCCCCCTTTTCACGTATAGCTCCAGCCTCCATGCTTGCTTCATTCTCTATCAGTAACTCATGTAATCGAGTCGAGTTAAATAGTAAAATATTTGAGTTTAAGCTCGATTTATAATTTAAGATTTGATATTTGATTCGAATTCGATCGAATTTATTTTTTAAGTTTGAGTTTGATTTGTGATTAAATTTAAATTACTCGAATTCGCTCGATTAAGTTTGATTAATATGTAAAAATAAGCTCGATTCGTATATTCGATAAGAGTTCGATTATTCATGTTCGAACTCGAACTCGAATTTAAAATATTTTATTAATTAAAATAATTAAAATATAATTAAATATAAAAGCTCGATTAGACTCGCGAACTACTCGAGTCAGATATAAGAATATTTGAATTTAGTTTGATCGATAAATCGAACTACTCGAACTCGACTCGATAATAATCGAATCGAATTCAAATTTTTTTCGAATCGAATCTGAGTAACTTGTCAATACTAATATATCATTTACATCCCTACTTGCGACTGTAGAAAGAATTGACAATGGATCCCATGAAAAAAGTAATACTTCACTCGTCTCATTTTTAAGTGTCTTTTTTTTTTAAAAAATTATTTCATTTGTAAACACCTAATTAATTTTCTCATCCACAATTATGTTGTGAAAAATTTTGAATCCATTAACTTGTAAATTTCTTTAATTTCTGGAGTCTGGTCAGCTATATATCCCTCTATTTTAATTATCCCAATCAATGGAAAAGAGAGATTCGAGCTTACAATCTGAGTTAGGAAAAATGCAAAGGAAAGGGTGTTAGCGTAATTTCCATTTTGGGAGTGATCAAACTTACTAATTATCAATTACTATACTATATTATTATTATTATGGGTAATTGGCTTAAGAAGAAGCCATGCACCACATCTTTGATCACAATAGCATGGATGATGAAGGTAAGGAAGAATGCATCATATGATAGGGCGAAGGATTCCGGGCATCTCTCAAATATCTCCGACCGACGTCAGAGTCTTCACTAATTTTACATGAGAGCAGGAGTGTTGAATTCACTCTTCAGTCGTCATAAACCTGTTTTTCTTCAAATGTCACACAGCCAACTAGTAGTGTATTATATATGATAAGAAATCATTTTCTCTTTTGTTCGCTTGGAAATTCATTATGCAAAATCCATCCATCATCCTCAGTTGTCAGTAGTCACTTCTCTCAACAATTCTCGTGGCTAAACGCCCTTCCACAGTAGAAGTTGTTGCTCGATCGATTGTTACCACTAACTTGATTTCTTTGACATACCATGGCTGGCTTTTCTTCTCTGCAAGCCAACCTCTCTTCTTCTTACCACTATCCTTACCCTACTTGTCACTCTTTGTCCGCCGCTCTCTCTCCCTCACTCTACAAGACTTCTTTGCTTTGGCTGGCATGCACCCTTGTGTGTGGGTGTGGCCACCCGATTCATTCACACCTCTAATTGTTTACAATGAAGGTATCTACGTCTCCTTTGTTGTTGCGGAATCTAATGCAGATTTCTTTCACTTCTCTGGGAATCCTCGGCGCTGTGTTGTGACATTTATCCACTACGTACTCCCTCAGTTGCCAATTAGCGGGAAATCCATCCCCTTTGCTTGCCGCACAAATCACCATTTTCTCTAATTTTGCCATATGCATTGCATTTGCATAACATCATGTGGTTGCTTGAACATAACAAATAAATTGTCCAATAGGAAATGTCAGATATTAAAAGGGTTCTGTTCTGTTGATCAACTCAACAATTGATATTGTCTCTAGATATACATATGATTAATACGTACAAATGCCATGTCATGCCATGCCTTGCCAGTGCTACCTGGGCACCTACTCTTTGAGTTCTACAAACAAATTAACAGTGCCACATCTTCCGGTCTGGAGCATTTGCTTCCAGTCGTTTAAGATATTTGACATATTTTACCCAGTGTGTAAGCTCAGCAACAAATCGTATCTTTTGCGGGCCAGCAGCGTACTAAAAGTATCAAAAGTGGGGTGCCTTTTTTTTTTTTTTTTTCGCCTCAGGATCTAATTATGCCATGCTTTTTTTTTTCTCCTTCACATTTATGACCATAAATTTGATCCTTTTTTTTTGTTAATCTTTTCTGCTATTGAAACATGGAACATAATTATCTATATTTTTTTTACTATAACAGTATAATTATTCAACCATAGTAAAAAATTATATAAAAATTCATCCTTTATAAGTGTAAAATTCACATACAATTTTGATAAATTCCATAATTTAAAATTATAATTGATTAAATATACTGCAATCATTGATACACTCCTTTAGAATAGGGTCTAAATTCTTGAAAACAAGTGAAATAATGCAGGTGGCTTAATGATGTACGATGAAACTGCAGTGGGTGATATTTCTCAGGGTATCACACCCAATTGAAAGGGGAAATGCAAATAATATGTTCCCCGTTTATGGGGCCAAACCAATGATCTACCGTAACACGGTGACATTGCCTTGTGGTGTTGCGTAAATTAAAAAATGCAGCCTTCATTTATGATTTACCCATGTGAGCAGGCAGCGCAGAGACATCGTATTCATCTTCCGAAACAATTGTACACACTATCTACCATATTAGATAATGAAGTACAGAAACTTATATTTCAACACAAAACCCTCAACATTGCTGCTCTACACATCCCTAAATCTAGCAGATAAGATATCACAGCAAAACCCAATATACAGTTTCAACACTGCCACCTGCGCATTTATTATTCAAATTAATAGCCATTGGCTACTATAAATTACAAACCTTCAGCAAATATTATCCATCAATCAGCATCTTCGCCAAAAAGTT